TACCCAGAGAATATTTTTTTACCTCCTACCCACCCACACTGTGATCATGAATGGCAAATCGGGAAAGAAAAAGTTCCTACAATGGGCTTTTATATCTCTTTGGGATGACAATTAACATTTTGGATAGAGTTCTTGGATGTTACATGCAGAAAAATAAACTAAACATGGGTGTCAGTGAACCAGTTATATTTCTGAACGCTGTGTAACTACTGTAGTCCCTTATTAACCATGCTGAAAATATATGTAAAATAAATTAGAGGACATATTCTGTATTAATTTGGAGTTTATTTATACAAAAATCTTTAGAGAAAAATACTTTTGCCTACATCACAGCCTTCTCTGACTAACCTTATTTTTGTATCCCTCTCTATTTTTGACTGACCTCATTAGTCTTCTGGTGACACACAGACATTTAATATACTAATATACGAAAAACTATCAGTCTGTGCTCACCTTATTGTATGAGGCCACTATAAAAAAGTCAAACAGGGACATAACACCTCAGATGTTCTCAGTCATTTACTGAAGACTGTCTATACTTTCCTACAACCAGAATAAGCTGCTTTTGTACTTGCCCAAGGATAACAGCAGTGAGTAATTTGCGGCCCTTCATGGTCAGCATCTCTATGTCCAAGTGGGTTTTTTTAGGATTCTCAGTGGTGGGAGCTTCATTTCAAGCGCTTTCTGGCTGCTGAAACTTCTGATGGAAGCCTGGTTAATTCCAGCTTCCCTAAACTACAGGTCTGCAAATCTCTGCCACTCTACTGAACCTACTGCAGCTTTTATGCAACCCTGTGGTTAAGATGCTCCACTCCTATTGATGCATATTTTTTGTTCTTTTTAACTCATTTTTCTGTTTGGTATGGGTCTGCTGGTTTTGGCTGGGATAGAGTTAATTTTCACAGCACTACTAAGGTTTGGATTTGTACTGAAAGCAGTGTTGATCACACAGGGATGTGTGAGCAGTGCTTACAGAGCCAAGGCCTTTTCTGCTCCTCACCCCACCAGTGAGGAGGCTTGGGGTGCAGAAGGAATTGGGAGGGCATGCCGCCAGGACATCTGACTCCAACTGACCGAAGGGTTAGTCCATGGCATATGGCACCATGCTCAGCAGATAAAATTAAGGGGGAAGAAGGAATAAAGCTGGGAATGGTGGTGTTTGTCTTCCCAAGGTACTGTTATGTGTGATGGAGCCCTGCTGTCCTGGGGATCACAGAATCGTAGAATAGTTTAGGTTGGAAAGGACCTTAAGATCATCCAGTTCAACCCCCTGCCATGGGCAGGGACACATCACACTAGGTCATGGTGCCCAAGCCTATGTCCAACATAGCCTTAAACACTGCCAGGGATGGGATAGCCTGCACTAGGGCCTCATCACCCTCACAGGGAAGAACTTCTTCCTTATATCGAACCTGAACTTTGCTCAAGTTTAAACCCCTTATCCTATCACTACAGTGCCTGATGAATAGTCCCTCTCCAGCATCCATGTAGGCCCTCTTCAGATACTGGAAGGCTGCTCTGAGGTCTTCACACAGCTTCTCTTCTCCAGCCTGAACAACCCCAGTATTCTCAGCCTGCCTTTGTATTGGAGATGCTCCAGCCCCCTTGGATGGCTGAACACCCATCTTAAGGCATATCAAGAATAAGAGGGTTATGAGGGGCAGTCAACATGGCTTCACCAGGGGGAAATCATGCTTGACCAATCTCTTAGCCTTTTATGAGGAAATAACATGGTGGATGGATGATGGCAGAGCGGTGGATGTGGTCTACCTTGACTTCAGCAAAGCATTTGACACAGTCTCCCACAGCATCCTCACGGCTAAATTGAGGAAGTGTGGACTGGATGATCAGGTAGTGAGGTGGACTGTGAACTGGCTGAAGGAGAGAAGCCAGAGAGTTGTAGTCTATGGGGCGGAGTCTAGTTGGAGGCCTGTAACTAGTGGAGTGCCTCAAGGGTTAGTACTGGGACCGGTATTATTTAATATATTCATCAACGATTTAGATGAGAGAATTGAGTGTACTATCAGCAAGTTTGCTGATGACACTAAGCTGGGAGGAGTGGCTGACACGCCAGAAGGCTGTGCTGCCATCCAGCGAGACCTGGACAGGCTGGAGAGTTGGGCAGGGAATAACGGGATGAAATATAACAAGGGAAAGTGTAGAGTCCTGCATCTGGGCAGGAACAACCCCAGGTTCCAGTATACGTTGGGAAACGACCTGTTAGAGAGCAGTGTAGGGGAGAGGGACCTGGGGGTCCTAGTGGACAACAGGATGACCATGAGCCAACACTGTGCCCTTGTGGCCAAGAAGGCCAATGGCATCCTGGGGTGTATTAGAAGGGGGGTGGTTAGTAGGTCGAGAGAGGTCCTCCTTCCCCTCTACTCTGCCCTGGTGAGACCCCATCTGGAATATTGTGTCCAGTTCTGGGCCCCTCAGTTCAAGAAGGACAGGGAGCTGCTGGAGAGAGTCCAGTGCAGGGCAACGAAGATGATGAAGGGAGTGGAGCATCTCCCTTATGAGGAAAGACTGAGGGAGCTGGGTCTCTATAGTTTAGAGAAGAGGAGACTGAGGGGTGACCTTATAAGTGTCTATAAATATATAAAGGGGGAGTGTCACGAGGATGGAGCCAGGCTCTACTCAGTGGCAAACAATGATAGGACAAGGGGTAATGGGTACAGACTGGAACACAAGAGGTTCCACTTAAACTTGAGAAGAAACTTCCTCTCAGTGAGGGTGACGGAACACTGGAACAGGCTGCCCAGGGAGGTTGTGGAGTCTCCTTCCCTGGAGACATTCAAAACCCGCCTGGACACATTCCTGTGTAACACTATCTAGGTGTTCCTGCTCCGGCAGGGGGATTGGACTAGATGATCTTTCGAGGTCCCTTCCAATCTCTAACATACTGTGATACTGTGATACCCGCCTGATCATGGGAAGTGGTGAACCAATTCCTTGCTTTGCTTTACTTGTGTGCATGTTTTTTTGCTTTACCTATTAAATTGTCTCAACCCATGAGGCTTCTCACTGTCATCCTTCCAGTTCTGTACCCCACCCCTCTATGTGTGGGGGGTGGATTGAGTGAGCAGCTGTGTGGGTCTCAGTTGCTGGCTGGGCTTAAACCACAACATAGAGGCAAATGTGTGAAAGTTAAGAGTGCCAGAGAGGCTTCAAGTGCTATCTGGGATATGACACAGTTTCCTTCTCCCTACTATACAAGATCTCCATTTCTGCAACTTTAATACAGCTCCTAGCACTTGTTTTGTTCACTGTCCTACATTCCACCACCCCCCCCCCCCAAATTATATCATGATGTATAAATATACTTGCAATTAAACATCCGGCAAACCTTTGATACAGAGATATACTAATTAGCAACCTGCTGATTCCTTCATTTCCCTATTGATATTTTACTGCTTTATAGTTGTTTTTTTTTCTCTTCTGATGAACTGCATTTCCAACTTTGAATTGGATCTCTGGGAAGCCTTGGAGGTGGCTCCATGAAGGAGTGAGCAAAACACTTAGCGCTGTGTTTTCCACAAGTCTGCCATTCATTTTATTTAGTCAGAAAAGGTGAATGGTCCAGAGGAAAGTAGCTCTTGGCTTTTTCAACCCCTTCCCTCCATTTTCACATCACTCTGCTCTGTTTAGTTACTGGTTGGAAGTCTGTGGTGTAGGGTTATTTTACACCTGAACCTCCTGCACCACTCTATTTAGCAATATACTTCTAACGATGTTCAGGAATTTTGTGTAATCTCTACCTCAATTTCCCATTCCTAACATAAACCCAACACAACTCATGTGGGGGCTGAGGGTCCCCAAACGTGTAATATGCTGTGGGCTGTGCGGAGGTGATGGTGGCAGGAGCCACAGCACTCAGAATGTTTGCTGCAATGCAGGCAGGAAGGATTCGGAGGCAGCCAGGACCCTGCTCCCCTCCTCTGCCCCCAGTGCCCACCGCCCCATGTCTCTGCGGGCTGTGTCCAAGCGCTTGCCTGGGTGACTTCAGTGGTGAAGCAAGGAGCAGGCTTGTGAGAAACATGGAGGAAAACGTACCTGAAGGGCTGTGAGGGGGCAGTGCCCCAAGATGGAGGCTGCAGCCGCCGGGAACATCCGTGTGGGGCTGCGGGCTGCCCTGGAGGCCTCACGCTGTCTCTGCTGTCCAACCATCTTCACGAGCCCATCCCTGCTTCCTGCAGAACATTTCTTTTGATATGTTTTGGAGTTTTCAAAACATGCAAACTATTAAATCTGAATAGACCTGAAATCGAGTGTGAGGTGGCAGCTCGGTGGGCTGCAAGATGTCCGGTGCCTGGCGGCTCAGTACGGGAGTGGCTGGCTGAGTGTGAGCTTCACGGGGGCTATTACTGAAGTAATTTTGTCTGAATTTCGCTTTTTACGTGCCAAAGTACCCGTTCCTGAGGTAAAATGACCTGGTGCAGAGGCTTTCTGGGCAGGCTCCTCAGCTCCCTGCCTGAGGGGAAGGTGAGTGGCAGCGCGGGATAGCCCTGTGAGGGTGGGAGAAGGAGGGACGGCGTTTCCAGCGGGTAGGACACACCGCTGCCTGCCTCACAGCGAGGTGAATTGCTTGGCAAAGCCCTGCATTTTGCCTGAGGGGGATGTAATTTACACTGTAAATCAGTTCCGTGCTCCCCCGGGTGGAAGGGATTATCGTTGTTCCCTGAGGTGAAGCGCTGTCTGCCGTGCTGGCTTCTCTGTAAAGGCAGAGCAGGGTTTAGCTGTTGCTGCGCTGAGGTGAGGCTGGCCCCAGGTGCTGGTGTTAAGGCTGATCAAACCATCTAACAAGGGGCAGCTGAGAGTGCTCAGAAACCTGAGGTAATCCGTTTGTAACCGTTCTGGAACAAGCAAAAACTGCATTTGGGGGTTGTTTAAAAGTACCTGAGAGGACTCGGGCATGGATTAAAGCCTAACGAGTCCTGACTCTACCCAGCCCTCAGCCGGGGTCAAAGGCTCTGAGGTATCTCTGTTTTACTCAAGTCATTTTACTCAAAGTATTCCAGGCCTGGAGAATTAACTGATTCAAATGGAGTAGCCAGAGCTATGGTTGTTGCTATGGGAGAACCAGTACAGTAAGAAGGAACCTGGTGAGCATCAAGTGAGCATAATGTGAGATAATGTGCAAAAAGTGAAGGTCTGTAGTAGCCCTGCACTGCACAGAGCTGTGAACACCAGCCCCGCGGGTGCCTGGAGGCCGGCTGGCACATCCCTGAGCATCCAGCAGATCAACAGCTGAGCAGCACCTAAGCTGTGATAAAATTAAAAGAAAAAAGACTTTTTCTGGGCGCAGCTTTGCTTTCCCACTTCCAGCAGGTTTTGTGAAGGAACACTCTGCAGCCTTCCACATGCAAAGTGCGGTTACAGTGTTAGGAGAGTAAAGCTGGCAAGTTCATTGAAATCAGCTGGAAAAAGAGCACCAAGAAAAGGGTCTTCGAACAGCGGCTTCTTTTGTTTGCAGCAGTCACCACCCCGAGACTCCAGCGGTAAGTGCTGCATTAGCAATGCCCTGCTGGCAGCCCGCAAAGCCGCGTGAATCAAACCCCTCCTCCCCTGCCTGGTTGAGGTGCTGCCTGCGCTTAGCAACTTCCATCAGGGCATCGCGGCCAGTGCGTGCAATCGCAGCCGGGAGGCTCCACGGGAGAGCCGTGCCTTTAACGATGAGGGGATGCACATTTCTCCACTGCAACCTTTCGTAGTAGCTCCAGGGAGGCAAACCTCAGTGCAGAGGCTCCGTGTGTGAGAGCGGAGTTTTGCCCGTTGCACAGACTGTCACTGCAACTTCGAAAAGGACTCCCCTTTTTTTTGTGGTTGTTGTTTCTTGTTATTCCTGGACTTTGTGACAGCGAAGAGCTTTTCTGCACGCTTGAACCATGAGTGGCTGTTCAAAGAGATGCAAGCATGGGATTGTCAAATTTGCTCAGACTATTTTCAAGCTCATCACAGGCACTCTCAGCCAAGGTTAAGTTCACGTTGTTCTTTTGTGCTGTTGGCTTTGTGGGGGTAGCTTTGTAGCCTTTAAGGAGGCTTGCGTTAGAGTTCATAATTGTCTCTTCAGAGGTGTTCTGTTTTAATTCGGGGAATTGGCTGCTCTGAAAGAAGTTGCTATGTGCGGGGAAGATTGGAGCCTTATGTAATTGTTTTTAACTTGTGTAGTGTGTAACCTGCATTTGTCAGCCTGCCACAGCTCGCAACTGTAGCAGGCTATTTCAGTGTGTTGGAGAGGTGTTTCGGAAAGCAACTGATGTGAAGCTCCAAAAATTTAGATTTTGTAACTGCCAGTAATCGGTGCTTCTGTGTTATTTTCTAGTTTAGCACTTCTACTTGTTTGAAGCATGTGTGTACCTTGGTTCAAAATCTAGGTCGCTGCTTATCGCGTGCATGTGGGTACCTTTTGTATATCTAAGTTTTGCTTGTCAGCTATGCCCTGCGTGCCTTCCCATGTGCAGGGGGAACAGTAACTAAGTTATTTATGCTGTACTCTTCACTAAAATGAAACAATAAGCAAAATAAGCAAAAGAAATCCTCTAGTTGTCTTTGTGAATCTAGTAGTTCCTGTAATGGTGCACTGAGGTAAATTGTTGTTATTTTTGTTGGCTGTGCCTTTCATAGTGATACATCTTAGCAGCACCTATGGAAGCTGATTAAATGAGTATTGGTGACCTGTTTGAGAACTCCTGACAACAGCAAGCAATGGTATGCTTGACTGCTGTTTGCTTGTTGAAATATGGACAGTGTTTAGCTGAGGGTCAGAGTTCTCCAGGTTTTGTGCGTGTTTGGGTGGACGGGGTGTGCCTTTTGGAATTGATAATACAGTTCAGACTAAATTATTAGTGGGAAGATTGTGTAGGCTGAAGAGTCTCTGTTATGGTGAATTTTTAAATGCAAAGTCTGAAGCTTTTTTTAATGTATTTGTAGTCAAGGAGTAAGATAAGTTTAGAATTCTCGGAGGTGTGTGGCTGTGTTGGCTGTCTGGAGCACATATGCTCCTGCATGAATTTTAATGTTTAAGTTGTTTCCTAGGATAAACTAAGGCAGGCTGAGGTGACTTCTAAAATAGTAAATGTGGAAGTGCCAAGAACTGTTAAGTACAGCTTTCTTTAGTAGAAACTGGGGGGAACTTATTCAATCTCTCTCTCTAGAAAAGAAATATAATTCTAAGACGGTTTTCTCATCATGCCCTCACTAGCTTTCAAAAAGAAGTCTGCTGAACGAGAACATATATCCTTCCTATGAAGAATACTGGACAGGTTTGTTGTTTTTAAAACCAAGGTTGGTTTAAAATTACATCTTCTTGTATTTATTCTTCCACTCCCCCGCCCCCATCATCCGTGGGCTGTCAAACACCAGCAGAAGAAAGATTAAAAACCGTAACAGGCTGTCATAGAAAAGAGCTGTTACGTGTTGGTTATAATTCATGGTTAATGACAAGTTGTCTCTTTAATACTGAAAACAAAGGAGAAATTCATAGAAGTAAATATAGTGAGAAAAATTGTTTATTATCATGATACAGAAAAGAAAGTAGTTGTAGGATGTTGTCTGTGGGACATCATCCTCTACAGCATGTCAGTGTGGTATATTTGTATTTTTTTCAGGAGATAATGGAATATAGGGTGCAGACTGTTAGATTCACCAGTGATTGACAGTAAACTTTGTGCTGTTTGCTTGAACCCCCTTTAAGACAATGCGCAATGTGAGTTCTGGTGGTGTTTTCCCATGTGCTTGTCTTGCGCAGTTCCTCTAATGCGAGTTTTCAAGCAGCCCCTGTTCATCTTCTGTTTGCCTTGCTCTGGCAAAGGGATATGTCAACATTTGAGTCTGACAGTAGAACAGCATTGTGTGGAGAGCTGGAATTAAGAGTAGAAAATGTCCAAGACTTGCTCCCCCCACCACTTCCCTTTTTTTCTGGAAGTTGCCAGCACTGTACTGCCATTGTCTTTGCAGCCCATGCATTGGTATTACACAGTCAGTCCACATCTTTCTAATGGCGATACCTTGTTTCAAGCTGCTTGGATTAGATAAGAGTGGTTTCCTATGATTCAAAGAATTCAAAACTCTAAACTTTTTTCTCTACTTAGCTGCTTGTGTTTTGAACTGGAAGAACCAGATTCAGGAAGAAATAAACCATGTGAATGAGTTTGTTGCATAGATATCAAAGACCTGTTATAATTAAATGTTTTCATATCATTACCTATGAAACTCATGACTAGAAAGAAAATTATTAGAAAACTTGCTCAGAAGTGTTGAATTAAAAGATAAAAAGTGTTCATTTGTGCATTTATCTCTGAGCTTGTGGGTTATTATTTCTTTTAATCAAACTTCTGCATGTAAAGCCAAGAAATAAACTGTTGTATATTGCTATTAGTGACCGGGTTTTAACGTACACCATATACATACCTTTGAATACTCAAGCAATATCCCTTGTGTTCTTTATCCCACTCTTGCCTCATTTCCTTCATACTTTTTCATTTTATTTATTTTCTTTAAACACTTTTTACAAGGGAAATTGTTTGTGAGACACAAGATTAATTCTATTCTTATGCTTCTACCTCTCTGAGGGTTATTGCAGTGAGAGATACTCCACAGTTCAATGTGGTGTAATCCTTAGCTATGCTCTATGACTTCTGCTTGTGTTGATAACATTTTTTCTTTCACCTTGATTATTTAAAATAACAATGAGACTGTCTGATCTGCACCTAGAAAGTCCTTTCTTCTGCATCAGGGTGCAATGGGGCCGCAGGCTCTCCCTGCAGTTGGCAGGAAGGGAATGGGCACACTTAATACCACTGTGTGCTCACCAGCCTGTTCTGTATATCCTGATTTAAATCTGTAGCAAATCTAGGAGGTTGTGAGCCAGGAAGCTCATAGCTGGTACCTCTGCAGAGCTGAACTAGTGAATTTTGCCATCTTCTGTCTTAGTCCGCTCTTTGGAAAACCTAACAGAGCAGAAGTCTCTGCTGCTCTGTGAAAGGCCTCTTCCACAAAGAGCTTTGTGCAGTTGGATGTATGCCTTAAAGAAAACATGTCTGGAGAAGCATGCTTTTGGGAGCAGAATTGACACCCTTATTCTCCTTCTGGGCTTACATGGGGGTCCAGCACATGCAGGAAAGGAGTTACGGTGGTGATGGACAGTGTGTGAGCAACAGCAGTTTCACCAAAGTTGCCTCAAATATGTGTGTGTGAGATTTAGATGTTTTCACATCACTTTTGTGGTATGTGAAATAGTGGTTCATCCTCCATGCCCTCAGAGCAAGTAGGGGTGGTAAGAATGAATTTGTTTGGGGCTTCCTGTTGAGCAGAATGATTAAATCATAAGCCTCTGTGTGAGTGTGAAGATATTGCTAATGTCATTAAAAACCTAGTATAGGAAGGCCTTGCTGTGTGACCAGAAATTAAGCTGGAATGAGATCTTTTGGATTTCTATTAATGTATTCTAATTATCAACGCAAGAAAAGCAAGATAATTTTAGGGACCAACTCTTTCAAAATGTTCCTTTGCAAAAATAGATAAGTTTCTGCAAATTAACTGCCCTTTCACCTTTGTTCCAGAGCTGCCCCTCTTTTATTTGTGCTATTAAAATGCTTGCCAAAGGGTCTCATTTCTATTTTATTGCTTCTCCCATCTCTGTTCTGCAGCGTAATTCATCTGGAACTGGTAATTTGTCCACTTTTCATAGTTTTAATTGCCTAATTATCTGTTCAACTGCAGTGATAAAGTCTTCAAACATCTTGCTCTGCCCACAGCTTCTCTCACCATGAAAGAAAAGTATTCGGAGTGTTTCACAGCCATGTGATGTGTTTTGCTGCTGCTTTGTGAATCCAAATTGCAGCTAGTCTTCTGAGATGTTATGCGAGATGGTAAGGAAAGTGCATGGTCTCTTTTAGTCATACACAGGCCTTGTCTCCTCTCAGTGGAAGTTAATCTTGTTCCTTTGGAGCATTCTGGCACTGCGTTAGGTTTGTCTTCATGACTTCAACCTCTGAAAATGCAAAGGTAGGGTAAATGTTGCTAAATGCTCTGAGGATTTAGACACAGTCTCATTGCAGTTGTGCAGGTGATGTCAGGGATCCTGCACCTGTGTGACATGGAAAAATATTTGATTCTCCTGCTGCTATGTAGCACACCTTCACTCCTTGAATTCTGGCTACTGACTTCAAATTTAGAGAAGCTCTGATTCAGAGGGCTCCTGTAGCAGCACTTTTATGCCCTCTCTTTATAAAACTTTTCTGAGTGTTTTAACTGTTTTTAATAAGGCAAGTGGTTACTGAAACCAAGTGAATAACATGCTTTTACAGAGTGGGGTTAGAGCTTGTCCATGTTTCTCGAATGGTCCTGAAAAGTAAGCGAGACTTTCTGTGCACAAAATGCTGTGCAAAGTCCCGTTTAGAGAGGGGCTGCCACTTGTCTTCACTGTGCATCTTGGAGAATAGTCCACAGCTAATGAAGCTTCACAGTTCAGTACCTGATCTGAATTGTACCCAGTGAAGCTCTGCAACGTCATTGTGTGAGGTGTCTGTGAGTTTTGTTTTGCTGCTTTTAAAACTCAGCATACCTAGTTATTTTTAGTCCATGCTTTTGAATCTTTGACCCACCAAGCAACATACACCTCTGCTTGGCATGGTACACATTTGTATGTCTCTGAAAAAGGAATTGCAGATAAATCAAAAAGCTACACTATTTGAGTAATCTGAATATATGTACATGCATTCCACTTGTGTCTTTTGTCAGGAACAAGATGAATTTTGAGAACTGAGAGTGAGAGGAAGCGGTAATGCAATAGTCTTCCTTTCAAAACTCTATAAACCTCTGCTTCTAGAAACTATTACCTCTGCAAACATAAGGGTGCATGAGTGCTAGAAAGTTAAGAACTCAATTGTTTGCAATGGGGTAGCCCCAAAAGAGAAGTAATTTTACTTACAAAAAAAGAAATCCTTATCCTTTTGGAAACTGTTCAGAAAGGG